TAGGAGTGTTTCTTTGCAGGTTGACCTTCCTGATACTCTTTTTCAAAGACAATTTTTGCAGATTTTGTGCCATTAAGGTGTCCCCACACAGAGCCTTGTCAGGCAAACTCAGGGGCATGGCAAACAATCTGTTTCCTGCATGTAGTGGCAGGGCCTTATTTTCAATTACATTCATGATAGGCTGTGTCAAACTTTGCAGAAGCCCATTAGGAGCCAATTAGAGCTTTACAGATCAGTAGCTTCTTGTTAAGAAATCTCTGCAGAAATATATATATATTTTTTTTGTATAAATACAAATGCCCTCAGGTGTCAGACCTTCAATTCAGCTCTATCCAGGCAGGCGATTCGTGTCTCCCTCCTCCTTTCTAGTGTCTCTAACTGGGACCAATCTGGTTACTAGCCAAAGGTAGGGAAATCTAAGGCCACAGACCCCCAGATGCTTACATTATTATTATTTTTAAGGCAGTTGTTCACAAGACTCCCTATTACTGTAGGCAAGTAGTTTATCCAGCTACGCAACTTACAAATCCAGGCTGATATGTATTACAAATAATGCTCCCTGTCAACAGGAGAATGTGGAGGGATGGCTTTGAACCAGACACATAAGCTCATTTTATCGTCAACAGGATGTCCTAACAGAGCATCAGTATTATCATTTACTTTAAAACTCAGGAAAAAAAAAGGAAATGCTGTGTAGAAGGGGAAATATTTTTCTCCTTAAATATCTTTTTTTGTTGTTTGTTTGTTTAACTTGACTGTGCTTTTATCCTAGGAGTCAAGGAGTTCAGTGTGCTGCAGGATCAGCCTCTTGCACAATTTTTGGTATTGCAGCAGAGAAACAGCTCTCTGACATCTCTCCAAGGGGCCGAGCCTGTAAAGGTTAAAACTTCCTGGCTCTACAGGCCAGACTGTTAACCTCGGTATCCCAGACGAAATTCCATCTGGGGAATTGCATTCCCTGCCGTAGGCTTCATCTGTAGATCAGTCTGACATGCTGTTCTTGGAGTCCTGTGCAAATGTTGTGGGTAAACACCACTTTTGTAAGGAAACAGTTGCTGTGTTTTTAGCACAAGAGTTTAGTGGCTGGCTAGAGAACAAAGAGGAGAGTGTGCTCAGCCTGTGTGACAAAAGGAGCAATAAGAAACCTATCTTTATAAAATGCTTTGGGGTTTCTGGTCACAGTTTCAACTTGTTTATTTTATAATACCATCCTGCAACTTTTTAGGAAGGAAAAGTAAGGAAAGATCCCATTTCTGGGTTTTCCATTTTGCTGTCCCTTTCCCTTGCGCATGTATCCTTTCCAGTTTAGCTGTGGTACTGACCACATAAAGAGAAATTCTGGCTGTAAATGGCTGGATGCAGACGTGGCTGGAAATGTAAAAGTGGCTGGAAATAAGAATTGAGTGTGAGAGCCTGTGTTTTCATTGGTTTTGTTTTCCCCAGATGCTGCATTTCTTGCGAGAGAGAAGGCAAGAGCTGATGCTGAGTGCTACACTGCCATGAAAATAGCTGAGGCTAACAAGGTACTGACATTTCCTTACTCTGTGGCTGAAACAGGACTCTGTATGTCAGACTGCATAGAAGCCCTAAGCAAAGGGGCAGTCTGTGCTTACTGTGTCTGCTCATTCAAGTCATAAAACAAAACAAAGCTTTCGGCACAAAACCATGGTATTTGCAAATTCATTTTCTCTTCTAGGCAGATTTAAATTCGTGCCAGGATACATGAAATATCTGGTCATCTTGGGAAACAGCTCTACTAGATGCTAATGGGGCTGCTGAAAAGAAAAAATCAGAAATAGAGAAATTATATGATGGAACTGTCAGGCTTATTATTGCCTGCAGTGAATTCCCAGGACATCCTGGCAGGAAGGCTTTGTTTTGTAAGAGTCAATGAGAACGGACAGAGGTCGGAGATGTTTGTGTACAGGTTTTGTCCTGGTTATTCCATTCTTTCTGTTAAAATGTGATTATCCTGAAAGAATGAGCTCTGCTCTTCAAAACAGACTTTTCAATCTACTCTGTAGAGAGTGGGGGGAAAAAAAAAGGCCATTTTTATTTCTCTTTCCAGTAGTTTGCATTGCAACAACTTTCCATGACTGCTTGTGTTTTGGAAAAGTGGACTCCTTGTATGTTTAAAACAGAAAGTTGGTTTTGAATAAATCTGAGCTGTCGGTCATGTTTTTTATTTTTGTGCAGCTGAAGTTAACTCCTGAATATTTGCAGCTGATGAAATACAAGGCTATTGCAGCAAACAGCAAGATATATTTTGGCAAAGATATTCCCAACATGTTCATGGACCATGCAGGGAGCCAGACCAAACTTGCGGATGGACTGGCAGAAGGAATCCAGGACGATGAGGGCACAGGAACCAGTGAGGACACAAAACTGCCTCATAACATCAAATGATCTTGCAACATTTCTGTTTGTTTTATAAGAAAAGAAAAAAGAGAACTGGGAAGTTCCTTTTTGTTTCCCCCTTCTTGTACTGAACGGGATGAATCGGGCTTAATCCTGTCAATCTTTTCTGTGACGATTAGATGCAAGGACTTTGGTATTTATGGGGTGCTTTTTTTCTGGTGACATCTAAGCAATCAACTCCAAATATGTACTCGAGAAGCACCTCTCCCTGCTGATGGACAAAAAGACCAGTTATTCTGGAGAGGTTGGATGGATGACATCTCTGCACACTCCGCTCTGCGGCCAGCTCAGCTAGGTACTTTATTTTGGAGCGAGATGGTTTGTAGCAGTTGGAAGTAAAGGAGATTTGGGGGTTTGGAGAGAGGGGGAGTTGCTGCTACTTTTTTTTCTTTCTTTCTTGTTGAAAATTTCCAGTACTTTATTTCAAACCCCTTTTTAAAAAAGGTGCTAGACTTTTGTACACTAAGCGTGTCTGCTAGAAGGCTCAGACACTGTCGCAGTGTCAGGTGTCGCAGAGTGATCTGAACCATTCACTTTTTTGCATCTAACACTGGTTTCTTTTCCATTTGTCATATTTGGGGAGGCTTAAAGGGATGTCCTTGCAGTTCATCCGCTGAGTCCAGAGTCCAGGTGTGCTGATGGAGGCAACGTCCTGCCCGTGTCCCACTGGACTGAACTTCCCAGTCAAATCCAACTTTTATTTTCAGGATAGCGCTTAAGAGAAGGGATATCTGCTAGTAGCAAAAAAATATATCATACTGAAAAGTCACAGGGCAAAGGTAAGAACTTATGTCTGCGCTGTTCAAAGAGAAAAGACCTTTTTTTTTTTTTTTCTTTGCTCAGGACAATGCCCTAGAGCAATTTCACTACGACCACTGATTAATTCTCCATATATGAGATACAGAGAAAAATCAGATTTTTTTTATTTTATTTTACACGTATGCAAAACTTTGAGGGGGCAGGGGGAAGCTCAGGGCTAGAGCAAACATCTGTTTTTATTTCCTGTCCCCACCCCAATCCATCTGTAACCTGGCAGGAGAGCCTGTTTATTAACTTGTTTTAATTTGCAGTCCATATACTAATATAAGAGTGCAATTCTAACTTACTTGTCAGGGACCGGCCTATGGCACTTAATCTAGTGCTACAAAGCTTGCTGCCTACTGTACTTGGTTTCACTCTTCAGTGTTTTAAATATGTGCTTTTTTTTTTTTTTTAATAAGCACAGTAAGAGAAATCCAATACATTTTTAGTGCTGGTTCCAGTATCTTCACTATTTTTATTAATTTACTTTTGGGGTGATAACTCTACGTATCTGAAAATTCAAAGTAAAAGATAGCACTAGTTACTGCTGGAGAAAGCCCCATCTCCTACAGGTATTCTTTGTGTCTGCTGGAAAAACTGAGCCCCATGGTGAAAAATCTCATCTCAAAAATCTACAGGGGACGAGGCAGCAGTCAGATTGCATCAAGAAATGTGTGGAGAATATTACTCAGTTTATATATGAATTTCTGCAGAAGATTATGAAAAGGGAATAGCAAAACTTTCGTCATCGGGTAATAGTACCTAAGAGTTTTGAGGTTATCTAGGTTTCTTGGGGCTGTTTTTCTTTCATATTTAGGGTTCCATTTAGTAATTAAGACCTTCTTTCGTCAAGTGTTTTCTCAAATGAGAAGACCCTAACAAACCAAAGTGTGTTATAAAGGATGCTTTTGTGTAACCTTACTATAAGGCAACTGTTTGAATAAATAGGTCTTAAGGATTCATTTTAATGGAAAACATTGCTATGGAAGTGTTCCTGTGTGGGGGAAATACGGACAAAAAGAGTAATCAGATTTATTAATCTCAAATGCAGATTTTTAAACCACCCCACGAACTCTTATGTTTCCTTATAATTGAAAGGTAATTACTGCAGTAGGAGTGATAACAGCATAGACTTTTGCAGCTTAAGCAATCTGTAATAAGAATGTAAAGAAAGAACAGAGTTGAAATCATCCACTCCTTTTTACAAGTTGAAATTCATTGTTGCTTATTTTTTGTTGAGATTCCTCATTATATATTGAAACTTCTTGAATATTCCACAATAAATTTCTCACTACATGTAGTGCTTTATTCCGTTTATCTCTTTAAGTAGCACTTGGTCATGATTTCCCTGATCAGTGGTGAAAGGGGGACAGGGCCGTCAATGATTTTTTTGATGCATTGAACTAAAACCCTTTTGAGTTTGGTGTTGGTTAAGAAATACCTTCCATTTCGGTTCTGATTTTGTCAGAAACCTGTGAAATCTGTAGAAGTTTTTTCTACAGCCCTCGGGCCTTCTGGAAGATGCCAAAGAGTGGTGGGGGCGGGAAATGCGGGAAGTCCCAGGATTGGATAAAATTCCCAGAAAATCTTGTTTTTAGCATGGGGAGGGCCACCTTAGCGCCCGGCGACCTTCCCAACATGGCGGCCCCGCGCTTCGGCCCGCCCCCCAGTTGCCATTGGCCGGGGAGCGGCGGCGGCGCGCCCTGATTGGTGGGTGGGCGGGGTGACGCGGGTGTGTGGCGGAAGGCGGCGGGGGCCGGCCGGGGATGTGGAGAGCAGGCATGGCAGCCGGCGAAGGGCTGGGCCCGGCGCTGCGGGCCGGCACGGAGCGGGGGCAGCCGGCGGGCGCCC